TAATTGTAAATTTCTTTTGTATTACCTTTTTCTGGATTTGGTCATAAATATTCAATTAGGGAACTTTCTTTCTTAGTGATGATGCTTTGTTGTTAGGGATTTGAAACCGYAGGAGGAGTATTGGAATTTGCAAGCAATGATTTTTTGAGAGACCAATGGTTGATCGATTTAAGATCAAGATTTTGTCAGTAAATGCATATAATGAGTTGAAATGGAAACCAATGGTTGATCGATTGAGAAATTGCAAGACCAGAGAAGAGTGGGATTTAGTTACTAAGGAGAATAGGGAGAGAACTGAGAAGGAGGATAGTGAGAGAACGGATAAAGTTTTAGCTGTTGAGCTCAAGGATCTAATGCAATATATAGCTAAGGAAAGGGAGAGTAGAGGACAACCTCTATCGCAAGGGCTCGAGGATGGCTACTAGATCCTGCTCGAAGGATAGAGACATTGCTTCTGATCGTGCTATTCGATCAACTCCAAGGAGAGTTCTTGACCAGAAAGAAGCTCTGCAATCAGCTGGCAATGAGTTATATGAACAAAAAGATGAAGAAAAACATCATTTGTATTCTGCAGCAAGAATTATCGTTGAACCTTTCATCATTAGAGATGGAAAGCAAAGAGAACTATGAGAAGCTAGGGGTTGATGCATAGAAAAAGGCTGAAGAAATGGAGACTTTGCAGCTAGAAAACGAGAGCAATCAGCTGCGTATCGATTCATTGTCGACAGAGGTGAACCAGCTCCAAAGCGTTATGGAAGAGAGAGAGCTTCTTATCCAACAATGCAAGGAAAATGAGAAGAATTGGACGAGCAAACCACAGAGGTATAAGAAGTTGGATATTGGCAAGGCTTGATGATTTTTATCCTCCTTTTAAATACGAACCCCATTGCAGGACAAGGAGAGCTACTGGCAGCTGCTACAAGGATTTGTTTAGAGTTAAAAGTATAGCACAACTTCAAAGTTTGACGTATATATGCTCTTCTGATGCTTTGTAGGCAATTAATGAAATCCGGAGGAAATAGGATGAGGAGAAGCAAGAAATCATCAATGCTGAAAAGGAAAAGGTATCTGCTTACAAAATCTTTTATTGTAAATTGGCTCTYAGCAGTTGATCATGGCTCTGTGATGTTTCTGGTTCTAACTTGAGGTTGAGAAGGTTATCAAAGCATTATCTACAAAATATGATAAAGAGCTTTCAGACAGTAAAGCCGAATCAAAGCAGGAATTGCTMACCATTCAGGAGGATCATMCTTCTCTGGTATAGTAATCTCCTCTTAAACRTGTGGTATGTTCTGCAGATACTCACAAAACGAAGGAAGAGAAAGAGCACGGTCATGTTTGAGGTAACCTATTCTGCGTATCAACCCTTTGATTTGTTTCATCTTAAATGTTCAGATARGTTCAACAACAACCATCTTCTCTCACCTTTGTTTTGGCTACAGGAGCCACATAGGCGATCATCTCGGATTACACCCAAAGCTAAGACCCCAGAAGTATTGGTAAAGGTAATAAGATAGGTCCTGAAACTTTACTAAACATTTGTAATGCATAAATCCRAGTCAGGTGAACTAGTTGTGAAGCAGGGAGGGTTAATAACAACACTCAAGTAGACTTAGCTCATTTCTATAACTTGYAGAGTTGTTTAAACTGCGGAAAAAAAAAGGAACGGTAGATGTTTYTCTCGGCCACATTTATGGCATGTTTAGTCTAGGCTTCTATACTGAGACGACCCTTTCCTTATTTTGCTGTGTTTGGACCTTTTTCATAATACTTATTTAATTTTTCTTTCCTTATTTTTCTTTAATTATTTAATTTTTAAGGTTCTTTTTTTAATACTATCTAATAATGGTTTTCAAAACATTTTCTAATTATTTAACTATTAATTAGAAAAAGGTGTGGAAAATACATATATGGAGACTAGATAAAAGAAAATTTAGAGTCATAAGTTTTTTTTTGTTTTTGTCGTCAAATAAGTTTTATTTCTTAAATACAAATATGTGTGGGAAAATAGAAATAATGTAGTGTTAAAAAAGAAAGGAAAATAGAAAATACTAGTGTTTTGTATCACCTGCATTATAGGTCCCACTGAATATTCCGTGATTTGGATCCCGCGTATGTTTTAGAATTTTGATTAGCTGCATCGCGATTTACCTTACACTTTTTGTGTGCATCATTGTAGGATTTTTCCGAATTATAATAGAGATGATGCCCAATAATAAACAAACGATTTACATACCACTTTCTCTTCTCTCTCTTCCTTTTTTTTTTTTTTTGCTAAAAACCAACTTCTTCCTTTTAACCGACCCTTTCTTCTTTTTTTCCCTTTTTCTTTTCTGAAAAATATACTTATAAATTTTGTGCACATACTTTATCAATCTAATGTTGCCAACCATTTTTTGGTGGGTTAAAATATAAATTGTAATGCAACATTTTGGTTGGATAAAATATTTGTACCCGGTCCTTATCTGGAATGGACACTTCTAYTATACTATGTCTCTATATGCCAAAAATTGTGTTAGTGGCTCCACATGTTGGATAAAATATTTTCGGCTTAAAAACAGAAAGAACGTGTGTTAAATTTAAATATATAGAAAAATGGAAATCGTGTGTTGTGTGTCTATGGGTCCCACGAATATGTGATGAATATATCCTTTTGGTCTTTTGGATCGTACGTGTAAGGAAACCCTTTTTTTGTCATGCGCTTTTTG